AGACATAGAGATGGACTAGCTGTCAGCATTGTCACAACAACATTTTGACTGGTGCACTTCATGCATGGCGAGTAAGTGCATGATTTGTCATTCTTGCCTATAGGAGAGAAAACAGACAGACAGAGGTAAATAAGAAAACATGTATTTTGTATTAGCTTGTTTTATTTTTTTCTATCTTTTTATAAACATATATTGAAACTGCTCTGCTGTTTTGTTCTGCAGGATGCCAATCTTCTGGAGTATCAACACCATCCAAGAGAGTACAACCCTCATCTAGCCCCTAGTTCTGTTCTTATGCCACAGAGGAGACGGCCATCACTACTAACAAAATTCCAACCAGCGAATGAAAGGTAGGATTATTATTGTTCCCCTTTGAACAAGCTTTCACTAAACCCAAGACCCTGCATTCACTATATATGGTCTCCCACAGTGCACAGAACTTGGAGTTTTCATTCTTCTCGGACTCCCCTATGAGGCTGCATGACCCCTGACTCTGTCTGGACTGTGCTAAATGGCCCTGTACCAATCACAACCCTCCCCACAAAACCCCCCAAAAAACTTTCTGTCAATACACACCAAGCTAAGCATGTGCAGAGTGCCTCCTAGGGCTCTGTACTATCAGCAGATGGATTGGGGACTGTGAAAGAAGGGGAGGATCAGCGAACGCAGGATCCAACAGCCTTTTTACATAATGCGGAGGATTAACCCCTTAGGTTCTAGATTGAGTATAACAAGCATGCTTTACTACATATACAGGCTGATTTTACTGTGGGTTTAGCAACACTTTAATGTTCAAAATCCCCCTTCTTGTATCCACGGGGCAGTGTAGTAGCATCTATAAATGTTCTGCCTGCTCAAAATTGATTAAATCTGAAATCTGTTGGTCATTAGGGCTAAAGCAGCACATACAGTGGCAGAAATGATTGTAAGATGTATAGAATTTCAACTCAACTATTCTCACACTGTACATTTGCAAATAAGAGATCAGATGACAAAAATTTGATGGATTGTTGTTTGGAAAAGTTTGGAATTGTGGATAATGCATCAGCAGACAACAACAGTTTACGACAATATTTGACAATATCTGGTATCTAGTCACTTTCTGAAATGTGAATATGTGGGAATATTCATGATATGTATAGATTGTTAAAAAGATCATTTAACTTCACATCTGCATACGATTACTGATATAAATAGTCCCTTTCCAGCTTGTGTCTCTGTCTATTGACATAACAAGGGCTAACGTAATCAAAGATGATATTTTCTTGGGTGCCTTCGTTGCACATCGTTGATGTATGCACCTATTTAATAAAGCACTCTGTTTTTATAATCACACTTTTGTTCCCTCTTATGGTAAATATCTGCTTCAAGTAATTGATATTTATAGTGTAATATTAGCAGTTGGCTTGAAATACCAACATATCTGCAGGGCTCTATTCATGGCTCTCTATTTCCCAGAATAAGCTGCATTTATTTATTTATTACAGGTACTTGTATAGTGCCGTTAATTTGTGCAGTGCTTTACATATATATTGTACATTCACATCAGTCCCTGCCCTCAAGGAGCGTACAATATAGGTACCTAACTCACATTCATGCATACTTATACGAGGAGCCAATTAACCTACCAGCATGTCTTCAGAGTGTGGGAAGAAACTGGAGTACGTGGAGGAAACCTGTAAAGGTACAGGGAAAACATGCAAACTTCAGGCAGGTGGTGCCGTGGTTGGGATTTGAACCAACGACCCTGCTGCTAGGCAGAAGTGTTAACCACTTACCCACTGTGCTGATTGCTGCAATCTTCTTAGGTGGTTTGCTGAATAACAGGAAACTCAAATGATTGTCTAAAGCCGGCCATAGACAGTGCGATTTTCTTTCCTGCAACCATAGGTTGCAGGATAGAAAATTGCTCGATTCACCCATCAGCACAGTCAGTGTTGATGGAGCATCCCTACCACGGAGCCATTGTGTTCTCCTGGTGGGGGGAGCTGTCCCCTCTGGGAGAACACTTTGATTACTGCTAGATGATAGAAGGCCAGGGACCAGCCGAGATTCAAACAGTGTATGGGCAGGCTGAATGTGCCCAAGTTGATTGATCAGCTTGGGTACAACCAGCCTGTTGGGTTTTACATGTGATTATTGTTAGTGGCTATTATAGCCGCTAGCAGTAATCACTATGTTCTCCTGGCGGGGATGGCTCCCCCTGCCGGGAGAACAAGATGGCTCCGTGGGAGGGATAACCCCACCAACCGTGTTTGCAGGAAAGAAAATCACACAGTCTATGGTTGGCTTAATAGCTGCAATAATCACATGTAAAACCCAACAGGCTGGTTGTATCGATCATTGGTCGATCGATCAACTTGGAGACATTTAGCCTGCCCATACGTGGTTCCATTCTCAGCCGGTCCCTGCTGAACTGGCTGATATTTAAACCGTCTATGGCCAGCTTAAGAGGTATGCCATTGACTACTGGTATATATTTACATTTCAAAACTAGGGGGCAAGATGCTTTGTCATCTAAATGTATATTAACAAATATACAATAGAAAGCATGCTTTAAAGGTCTGTTTAATAAGTAAGGGACTCCTACATTGATCCATTGCTTAAAAAAACCCAAAAATTAAGTAAATATAAAACACCTTTAGTGGAAAAAGAAGTTAGTTAAAATCCATACTTTTCCCTGTCTTCTGTAGTACTGGGGGTGATTATGGACCCCATAGTTGATATCAAGGGGGATTCAACGTAGCTCAAATCATTCAGGATGATGTAATACAGTGCACAGGCATGTTCTCACGAGATTTGGGCTGTTCAGCATTGTTTAGGATATCATCTGATGGTTGCTGACATCGCTCTCGCCTAGGTGCCAAGGGCAGAAGCAGGGGAGTAAGGGAAGTATGTCATTGACCTTTATTTTCACAAGTGTTTTTAAAAATACATTTTTTAGCATTTTTAGCATTTTATGACGGTGGAGGAGGACCTAACTAAATTGGCAGATCTAAAATTTTAGTTCAAGATCTGCCTTAAGCCCAATCTATCTATGTCATTGAATGAAGACCTGTGGTTTCCACACAGTCCATTTCAATTTATCTTTTTATCTTTTAAGTATTTTTAAGAATATTGGCAGTATAAGCTGGATGTTCTAAATGCCTATAAATTGCTACTTTCAGAAGGAATGTCATATAGAAGACTTAGTAGATGGATTTTGAGTGACGCTCTGGGCAATAATTAAGAGTTATCACTGCCTATACAGTTGGTAGCCTTTAGATCCACAAGAGTCCTGAACAATACAGTTGTGTTTTTCTTTTATTATTTTAGTTCATATATCACTTGTAGTTTCCCATTCATATAAATGTAATCTTTGAACTCCGAGACCATGCTAATAAGAAATTATTCAAATTCTGCATTCTGTATTGCTAAACCACAGTAAAATGAAGTCCTCAACTTTACTATGCTGTCAGTGCTACCAGGATTACAGGACAATATTTTTTACAGGTAAAATAAAAGTATTGGTTAGAGAAAGGACAGGTTAGACCTTCTGTCGGGTTTTTTTTATTGTTTTCTGTGTTGCTGCTGCTGAGATTCACTCTCTGTTTTTCCAGGTGCCCATTGTCACCAGGGCAAGGAGTGGTGGAAAATTAAAAATGTTACAGTTGTCACTGACAGAGCAACAGAGAAAAAAAGCTTTCAATGGGGTTATCTTATAACTGTCTGTCTATGGCAGTGGTCTCCAAACTGTGGCCCGGGGGCTGGATGTGGCTCTTTACTTGCTTATATACGGCTTTTGGGGCATTATTCCCCCCACTGTCAGCAACAGTGTGGCATAGTTCCTGCCACTGACACTGACAATGGGACATTATTTCTCCCACCGATACCAATGATGGGGCACTATTCATCCCATTGACACAAACGATGAGACACTATTCCTCCCACCGATACCAATGATGGGGCTCTATTCCTCTCATTGATACCAATAATGGGGCATCGTTTATTCATGCTGACACCAGGACATTGACTTCTTCCACTGGCCACAGTCCCCCTAATGTTTGAAGGACAGTAAACTGGTCCTTTTGTTTAGAAAGTTTGGAGACCCCTGGTCTATGGTGAGATTCCTCCTCAGAGTTGAGACATTTCCTCTTACTTTTTGTGGTATCTTTGGCACAGAATGAGAAGTGAAGTCTCCTCAATAGTACACAGACAGAACTCTTTTTCAACCAACTGTTTTACCCACTTTCAATTCTATCCACAACTGAAATACAAATTCTTGGCTTTAAATACTGTACTACTTCAATGTAAGTATAATTAACTTTGAACTTACTAGATTGTCTGAAGTGAAGCTTTAAGTATAATATTTAACCACTTGCCTACCAGGCACTTATACCCCCTTCCTTACCAGGCCAATTTTCAGCTTTCAGCGCTGCCGCACTTTGATTGACAATTGCGCCGGTCATGCAACATTGTACCCATATGAAATTTTGATCATTTTTTTCTCACAAATAGAGCTTTCTTTTGGTGGTATTTAATCGCCACTGGGCGCTTTACTTTTTGCGCTATAAATTAAAAAAAGTGCAAAAAATTTGAAAAAAAAAAAAAAAGTTTATTTGTTTCTTTTATAAAATTTTTCAAACAGGTATTTTTTCTCCTTCACTGATTTGCGTTGATGAGGCGGCACTGATGGGCACTGATAGGCGGCACTGATGGGCACTGATAGGCAGCACTAAAGGGCACTGATAGGCAGTACTAATGAGGTGGCACGGATAGGCGGCACTGATAGACAGCACTAATTAGGGGTCACGGATAGGCGGCACTGATATGCAGCACTGATAGGCGGCACTGATAGGTGACACTGATGATGGGTACTGATAGACGGCACTGACTGGCATCACTTCTGGGCACTGACTGGCGGCACTGACTGGCACAACCCCTGGGCACTGACTGGTGGCACTGACTGGCAGCACTGGTGGGTGGCACTGGTGGGTGGCACTGGTGGACAGCACTGGTGGGTGGGCACAGGTGGGTGGCACTGGTGGGCAGAGGTGGGTGGCGCTGGTGGGCACAGGTGGGTGGGCACAGGTGGGTGGCACTGCTGGCACATGTAGGTGGCACTGCTGGGCACAGGTAGGTGGCACTGCAGAGTGGCACAGGTGGGTGCACTGCTGGGCACAGGTGGGGGCACTGCTGGGAATGGGTGGGCGGGGCTAGTGGGCGCACAGCTGATCGGAACTTGCGGGGGTCACTGCTGGGCACCGATCATCAGGGCACTGATCATCAGTGCCCTGATGATCGGTGCCGATCCCCGCTCTGACAACTGCCGGTTCTCGGCAGTACTTTCCTCACGATCTGACAGCGTGAGGAAAGTGCAGCCGAGAACCGGCACTTGCATTTTCCTGTGATCAGCGTGTCATTGGACACCCGCTGATCACGTGGTAAAAGGCCGGTGGGGATCGGCCTTTCACCACATCTCGTGATCAGCTGTGTCCGTAGGACACAGCGATCACGGAGATCGCCGGTGCGCGCCCCCTGGGGCGCGCAGGAGAGCGCGTTCTGGGAGGACGTCATATGACGTCCACTCAGAACTGGCCGGCCGCGGTGAAGCCGTCATTCGGCTATGCGCGGGTCGGCAAGTGGTTAAAGCCGTATTTGTGTTTATTTAAAGTCAGCAGCTACAAAAACTGTAGCTGCTGACTTTTTAATAAACACACACTTACCTGTCCCAGGGTCCAGCGATGTACTCACCCGCGGCTTCACTCACAGCTTGCGGCTTCACAGCCTGGTGCCCACTGCTTGCTGCTTGCGCTGTGCCTCCTGATTGGTCCAGCAATCTTCTGGGACCTGTGAAAGTTCCCAGGAGACTGCGGGAGGGAGGAGGGCTGAACTTCCGGCTCACTTCACCGCAGCGAACTGAGCAGGAAGTGGGAGTGGGAACCTGTCAAAAACAGATATCCATGCCCTCCTCAATCCCAAAAGGTGCCAAATATGGCCGTGGGGGGGGGGGGAGGCAAATAAGCTGAGCTTCTGCCTTTCAGTGAAACTCTGCTTTAAGTGTAATTTTTCCATCACGCTCTGTTCCACTTTTGGTATAGTATGCATTGCTCCAGATAGCCATATTTATGAACTGGAGCTACAACCTTCCGAAATAGCTATACAGGATTGTCTGAGCCAGAGGGCATTTTTTCCATAAAACTTTAATTACATTAAAATATAATTAATAGCCCTAGTGGTTTTTAATATGCTGTGTCTGAATTTGTTCCTGGTTTGGTTTCTGCCTCTGAGTAAAGCTACACACCTTTCATGCAGATAAAATGGGGTATTCCTTTCACAGCAGTTAAATGATCACTAAGATGGGGGGGCTTAAGCTGGTCATTCACTATACACATTTCAGACAGTTCCTGATGAAAGACAAAATTTGCTTAGTGGGTGGCCCCCTCCCAACTAGGGTTCCCACCTCATCCCTTTAAACCGGACACAATAATCACATAGGTTCTGTGGCTAATTAAGATGGTAATTAAACGCAGTGCCTTATCTGTGTTAAATTAGCCTTAAGAGACTATGTAATTAATATATGTTTGGTTTTAAAGGGATGAGCTGGGAACCCTACTCCGAAAGCTGGGCGCAAAATTGACACATGAACAGCAGCCTCATCTAATCAACCAGCGATGTCTATCAGAATACAATTGCCCAGCAGGGGGATTCATCCATGCAGTCTGTGTAACGTGGATGGAGGAGTCTGTTATATTGTCCAGCCTGCAGGCTGTTAGTGTATGGCCAATCTTACAGTTGCCCTCTACAATTCCCTTGATTCACTGTAATGATGGCCTGGTTTACTAAATCTGCCCATACATGGATCGAAATTTGACCGGTCCAGCAGGCACCAGCCGAATTTTGATACATGTATGGGCACTGTGGTTGTACAGAAGACGATCTACTGATTGAATTCTGTACAACCACCCTGTCAGATTTTCCCCACACCGAAAATGTGCCGCAGGCACTGTCAGAATACAATATAGCTCACCAGAGAGGATTGCTCCGTCCACCACAATTGTATGGATGGGGGAATCAGGTCAGTTTTTTTTTTTTTTTTTTTTGGTTAACCTGCTGGTTGAATAAAAAAAAAAAATTCCATCTATGGGCTGCTTAACACTTCTCCAGCTGTGCAACCACACCCTGCTAAAACTCTTCATACCAATTGTGAACCACCTGCAAGGCAGATGCCAGAGAATTTTTTCATATTGGGATTACTAAAAGTAATAGTATTACATGGATCATCTGCTGTACCTGGTAATAAATTCCATTTGCCATCTTTTTGGAAATCAGTTGATCATTCTATTGATCTATTTATCTGCATTTCTGTGCATAACTGTTAGTGATTTTTCCTTATCCCAAAGTGTTACTATACCCAGTGTAAAATCAGTATATGTATGCAGTAAAGCATGCTTGTTATACTCACTGTGGAACCTAAGGGGTTAATCCTCTGCATTGTGTAAAAAGGCTGTTTGATGCTGTCTTCTCTGATCCTCCCCTTCTTCTATTGTCCCCAGTCCATTTGCTGATAGAATAGAGTCTTGGGGGCAAGCCGTACATGCTCGATTTGGTGTGTATTTCTAGAAAAAAATTTTTGCTTGGGAGAGTGCATGTAATCAGCACAGGGCCAGTCAGTGCTGTCCAAACAGAGGGTCAAGGGTTATGTAGCCTCATAGGACAACCAGGGAAGAATAAAAACTCCTCCTACAAGCTTTAGCCAGTGCTCTGCTGGACACTGATAGAAGTCACAAGACTGCTATATACTGCTGATGAGAAAAGGTATTTAGCAGTTTATATTAGTAAAAATATTTAATTTCCATGTCCTGTGTAGTGTGAGAGACCAGATATAGTGAATACAGGGTCCTAGGTTTAGTAACACTTTAAATGGTTGTATGTCCATGCAACCTGTGTAAAAAGAAAAGATAGTTTAGTAAGGTTTTCTTTCATGCTAGTATCTTAAAAACACCAAATTGCTTATAGACTCTGTAGATTCTGCTCTCCCTATTTCAGCATTGCCACTAAGGAGGGCAGCATTGAACAGGGGAGAAAGATTGGGTAGGCTATGACATTGACAATAAGCAGGATGAAAAGCCCTGGCTGTTTAATCAACCACATGGGTTTTAGGAGAATACACATCTACATCATTAGCACAAGCTGCCTATCATAATGTCCTCAGAGTAGTTACAGACATTGCAAAACGTAATAAGCGATATTGGCAAAGATGTTTGCTTAGACATCATGGGGTAACAACTGTTGTAGTTTCAGTTACCGAGTTCCACATTACTTTGGAGCAGTGCCAGTCATATTAGCCTATGTCAGAACTACGGCATCGTGAATGTCACAAGAGCGACTCTTTGACATCTCAAGGCTAACTTATGTGCTGAGAGCTTTGAGGAGAACTTCAGCTTCATTCTGAAAGGCTAGGCATTAGGAATCAGTATAACTGATCTGTTTATTGAAAGTGGGGTTGGCTGAAAGCACTTTTTATTTTTGTTTGCATTCAGGCCTTTGTTCAAGTAATCTAGTAACCTATGTGTTGAATTGTTTAGCATTGATGTGTGAAAACTGGAGCAAAAAAATTGCAGATGTTAACATAAACATAAATAAAGAATCAGAGGTCTGAATGGCTGAAATTATGGACAAATTAAAGTGTTACTAAACCCACAACAATAAAATCAGTCTGTATACGCAGTAAAGCATGCTTGTTATACTCTCTGTGGAGCCTAAGGGGTTAATCCTCTGCATTGTGTAAAAAGGCCATTTGATCCTTTCTCTCGTTGAAATGACCACATGATACAGACTGCATCCATAGTCACATACACATGCTCAGTTTGGTGTGTATTGCTACAGAGGGTTTTTTTTTTTCTTGGGAGAGTGCATGTGATCAGCACAGGACCAATCAGCACTGTCTAGACAGAAGGTCAGAGGTTTTACGTCCTCCTAGAGCTGGAAGAAAACTCCTACAAGCTTTAACCAGTGCTCTGCTGAAGTCACAAGACTGCTCTAACTGCTGATGAGAAAAGGTATTTAGCAGTTTATATTTACTAAAATAATTGCATGTCCATGTTCTGTGTACTGTGGGAGGCCATATATAGTGAATGCAGGGTCCTGGAATTAGTATCACTTTAAGACTGCAAAATCTGAACTCTGCTCCACCAGGTCTACATAATGTACCAATGTAATGGGCAATAAAGCCATCAGTCAGAATGAAAGACCACCAAGTAAGTTTAGGAGCTGGAAGATAGTGGGACTAAGCAAAAGCTGAAATTTGCATTATTGTGGCTGCCTGTATTTTGAAACAGATAATTATTTTAGTGTGCTTTAGGCCAGTACATGGAGTACATGCACAGCTAAGGGTTATCAGTCACAGGCTGTGTGCTGAAGCTCATCCTCCCCGTCACCTTTTTATTTCTTGGTGTTGGAAAAAGCTGTCAGATGTGACTCATGCTGAGAGTAAAGGAACAAGGCAGCATACAGAAATCACAATTGGTGCTTTGGATAGAGGCACGTACACAGTACAGAAGGATATGCTTTGTTTATTCTTCATGTCTGAGGTTTACAACAGGTGCCATAGGCTTTGTTCACTTCTGTGTAGGTCCCAAATAAGCATCTTTTTTTTTTTTTAAATGTAATTTCAGGCATTTGTTTTGTGCATATTCCCCGCATACTCATGCATGTATTTGCAATATATTCTTGGGAAAATTCATTAAGAACAGAAAATGCAGGTTTTCCTATTTTTCTTCTGAGGGATACGTGCCACTTGTTTACGTGCCTGTGTACAAACCCACATTGTAAATAATAGGCTACATTTTACCTCAGTAAAAAAAAAACAAAAAACGCTGTACTTTTTCAAGCTGCAGCGTGCAAGAGGCCTTAAAGTGTTACTAAACCCATGACCCATTCACTATTTCTGGTCTCTCACAGTACACAGAACATGGAAATGCAATTATTTTAGTAAATATAAACTGCTAAATACCTTTTCTCATCAGCAGTTAGAGCAGTCTTGTGTCTTCTACCAGTGTTTGGCTGAGCACTGGTTAATCTTGTAAGAGGAGTTTTCATTCTCCTCTTACTGTCCTATGAGGCTGCATGACCCCTGACCCTCTGTCCAGACAGCGCTGATTGACCCTGTGCCAATCACATGCACTCTCTCAAAAAAATAAATAAAACGCTGTCTAGCAATACACACCAAACAGAGCATGTGTAGACTTGCCACTGCTGTTCTGTACTATGGAAGATGGAGGTTCTTAGGTTCCAGTGTGAGTATAACAGGCGTGCTTTACATGTACAGACTGATTTTACTGTCATGGGTTTAGTAACACTTCAACCTACTGCTCCTTTCCTCAGTCTTTTGTCAAGG